TAAATTTTGGTTTTAGTGGTAAAATCTTGAATCATTCAGGGATTTTTTGAAAATTTTTACTTTATTTTTATTTTATTTAATTTTTGCTTCACTGTGTCTTGAACATTGATATTACAGAAAAGTACATCTGACATAAAGTGTAAACCAGTGTCTCAAAACACTGGAAGAACTTGGAAAGTAAATATGATTCTTATTTCCTCTAAGTAATCTTTAGTAAAACAAAAATTGATCTTTGACATAGATTTGTACTTTTAAAGGCATTAATATTGCATTTATATCAGGTAAGCAACTATACAAATATGCTAAGGAGAGGGCCTTGAAAATAATCTTTCATCAGTTAAAAGAAGTACAAGAAGCCTGAGTGAACAGGACCAACTTAAGACAGGTTTTATACATTTGATGTTGGAATCTAACATACATTGTGGGTGAGAAGGATGGATATTCAGACAAGGGGTCTTACTCCTTTCCTCATGTAGTTCTGTGTTTGTGAAGAGATATAGTTTTATGTACTGGAGAATGCTTACACAGTGGTGATAAGTGCCAAAATAGAACAAGTTCCCTTCTCTCACTTTGCTTAGTAGGAAACTTTCTGTATTAATAGTTAAATACTATACTTATTACTGTCTTAATCAGCTATATTTAGGAGAGGATACAAGGAACCTGATTATAATTGGTTGAATGGAGGTAGGAATTACAGAGAAGTACTTCCCATCCATTTATCCCCAGCAGCACCCAGATTTAGTCTGCAAATACCACTCTCCCTTAGGTAGAAAGTATCCTTCAGACAGTATGACCTTTCCATTAAATACTCTTAGGTGGAAAGCACTAGTTCTTAGGACTCAATTTCAAAAAGATGAGATGAAAAGGCTCTTTCACAATTACAGATGAAGCCAGGCACAGTGGTGCACATCCACACTCCCAGTTCCTTGGGAAGCTGAAGTATGATGATCACTTGAGCTAGGAGTTCAAGACCAGTTTGGGCAAGAGAAGAGACCCCATCTCAAAACAGAAAATTACAGACAAACACACACCTACGTATCTTTAAAATCTTGTTTAGGAACGGTATAGGAGAAGACTACAAAAGCCAGGAGACATGATTTGGTTAAAAATTAAATGCAGCATTTCAGCTCAGAAAGAACAATTAAGAGCTAAGAATGAATGATAAGGCCTCCACACAGATCTCTGCAGGCAGTGACAAAGCGTGGACCGCCTGGGCGTGGCCTTATTGGGAGGGTGGGCAGGGCCAAACCCAGGCTACTCTGCCCTTCCAGTGGCAGAGAGCACCAGGACACAGTGTGTTTGTGGGACACTTACCTTGGCAGGCTGAGGCAGGACATGGGACAGGAAGTTGCCCTAGCACAGGCATTGCTCGGGGTCATCATAAAGACAGAATCATGTGATTCTGCGAGTTCCTCCTGACAGTGAAATTTGTTTTTTTAATGTTCAAAACCAGGATTTAATTGGGAAGGGCAAGAAACAGGATGGGGCTCCCCAAAGGCTACCTTTTTCTCCAGCAGCAAAGCTTACTTCTGAAAAGGCTCCAGGTAGCACAACAGCCCAGGGAAGGCAGGCAGGGTCAGCAGCAACATGGAAAGCCCAAAACAATTTGTAGAGGCACAGTGATTTTCTTCGTAACTGATTTGCTTGGGGCCTGGGTCTTGGGAGCCTGAAGAGGAGTGTGGGGGCCGGTGAAAGGAAAGCAGGGAGAGAGCCCTGTCCCCTGGGGGACATCGGCACAGCAAGGTGTCTGGCTAGTGTTCACGCTTGGATTCTGAGCTTATGTGAAGTCCATGGCTAGAGACCCAGTCCTACTGGGATAGAGTGTGCATGAATATAACTGTGTTGGAGAATACAGGATTTATATGGAGATACATTTCAAAGTGTCCATGACAAAACAATATAAACGTTTTGAAGAGGCCCCCATTTCTTCCTGATTCATGAGGCCAGGAAGCAGCTTTCAAACCCCAACAATTCTGGGTGGCTCCTGGAACTCAGATTGCTCTCCTCTTCAGTAGGGGTTTCTGCACCAGCAGGAGGTACGCTAGATGCCTACTGGTACCAGGGAGTCTTTCTGACCCAGCGCAGTGTAAATCCAGCATCTGTTCGGATTTTGATTGAAGCAGCTTCTGCCTCTCGCACAGTTTCCTTCACAGACTGCATAAGGTTCTGGGCATTGTGAACCAGCATCTCTGTGGCCTGTAGTAAAAAAGAACTGGTTACTAGAGTCCCTGAGGCAGTCCTGTCTCCAAAGCAGAGTAAGCCAGGAGCAGACTCCAGTTAACCCCACTTTCATGTGGCAGCCTCCTTGCTTGCTCACACTTCTGGTGGTTTAGCTGCATAACCAAAAAAAGGACCCAAAACTACAGCATTGCTGACTGTGTACTGTATCCTCTGTGTATACTCTTTCCTGACATTCAGATGTGTTCCTCAGGACTTTTGCTATTTATTCCCTCCACCTGAAAGCTTCCCCCAGGGACCCTATGGCTTCCCCCTGTGTCCTTTAGATCTTGGCTTACCTGTCACCTTGGTGAGGACTTCCCTTTTCATTTTATTGTTTTTTTTTAATTAGTTTTTTGAGACAAAGTCTTGCTATTAGTTCAGTCTGGCCTCGAACTCACTATGTAGCCCAGGCTGGCCTTGAACTTGCAGTGATCCTCCTGCCTCAGCCCCCCCCAATGCTGGGATTACAGGTGTACACCACCACACCCAGCCATCATCACTAACTGATGTACTATATGTTTTACTTTGATTGTTTGGGGGGTTTTTCATTTGTTTATCTTCATACTATAAGGGCAGAAATTTTTGTCAGTTTTGTTCACTGTTGTTTCAGTGTTTAGGACACTGTGCCTGGCACAAAGGAGACATTTTATAAATATTAATGAATGGAAAAAAAACCTCAAACCTACGAAGCAACCAACTACCTTATAAATCTATCATCTAAATTACTACCTTATAAACTATGGTAATCTAAATTAAGTTAATCTTTCAAACACAAAGTTCAAGGACTAGAATCTTGTTAGTATTCTATAGGAAGTCTTAGAAGTTAATGATTCTTTAATCCAGTAATTCTTTTTGTCTGGTTGAGGGTTTTTTGTTGTTTTGTTTTTTGAGACAAGGTCTCACTTTTGTAGTTCAGGTTGGCCTTGAACTCGAGGCAATCCTCCTGCCTCAGCCTCCTGAGTGCTGGGATGACAGGCATGTGCCACCATACCCGGCCTGCCCAATAATTCTTAATTATTTTTGAGTCAGAGATTCTTTGAGGGCTTAATGAAGGCAATAGATTCTCTCCCAAAAAATGTTCACATACATCAAATTTGTACATGAAATTGAGAGTTAACAGGTTCTGAGA